AGAGAGTCCTGGAGCATTGACGCATAGTTGCCGTTCCCGAGGGACTTCTGTGATAAAAACTATCATACGTTACTCAGGTCCCAAATCATCGTTTTACCGAATGTAATTCAAAAAGATTCAATGAGTCTAGATATAATTTTCATTCCCAATTTCACACCAACTATCATTCCCTATTTTATCCCCTTAGGGGTGGAATTTATCAAAATCCTTTCTAAGGAGATACCTATGTCATAGTAACTTTATGCATGCAAAGTCTCAGCCCGATCGGTTTAAAACTGGCAAAGTATCACACAAACTTTCACCCTCTATATTACCCACATTGGGGTGGAAATATTCAAATACCTTTCTAAAGGGACGTGTACGTCATAATATCTACCTGCACGCCGAATTTCAACCCGATCTGTGTAAAACTGACAAAGCCTTGTACAAACTTTCATCCCCTATTTTACCCCCTTGGGGGTGGAAATTATCAAAATCCTTTCACAGCGGATGCTTACGTCATAACATCTATCTGCATGCCAAATTACAACCCGATCGGTTTAAAACTGACAAAGTCTCATACAAACTTTCATCCCCTATTTTACCCCCTTGGTGGTGGAATTTATCAAAATCCTTTCATAGCGGATGCTTACGTTATAACATCTATCTGCAATTCTGCATGAAACTTTTTTCAACCCGATCAGTTAAAAACTGACAAAGTTTCATACAAACTTTCATCCCCTTTTTTACCCCCTTGGGGGTGGAAATTATCAAAATCCTTTCTTAGCGGATGCCTACGTCATAACATCTATCTGTATGCCAAATTTTAGCCCAATCTGTCCAGCGGTTTGGGCTGTGCGTTGATAGATCACTATGTCAGTCAGTCAGTCAGTCAGTCAGTCAGTCAATCACCTTTGAATTATATATATATATATAGATATAGATTTTGATATGAGTCCTAAACTGGACAGCTATCGGTAGAGTTGAGCTTTTTGTAATTATTTCCGTATTACTTTGATTGACAGTAGCGTTTAGTATGAGATAAGATAAAATCATTCGACCATGCGTATAAGGACGTAAATAGTTAAATACTTTCTGTAGTAATTTCACCATTTTATCAAATGGAGTAAGTTTATCTGATGGTTTCCGTGGCCTTTATAGCAAATACAAGGCAGAGGAGACTGCTACAACTAGTTCGCAAGTGCGACTGCCGAGAAAGAGGTTTATTAGATCTCCGACTTGAGAGGCCAACGTTCAGGAGATTAAAAAATCTTTGCTTCGTATGATGAACTAAGATTTTGTCCCTCCCAGATCCCCGAAGGAGTAGGCAGATGTGCACATTGCGGCACTTAATGCCACTGTACAATGTAACACCCACTTTTCACTATTTATGTTAAAAGTCCCATGTAATAGGAGGTGAGCCTATTGCCATATACAGGGCACAATTCCAGACTCCGTGCCCGGTAGTCGCACTTGCGACCACTCGGCCAACGAGGCAGATTTTGTCCTGTATTACCATAAAACAACACGCCCAGTTGGTTGGTCTGGATTTGTGAATACCACACAGACTTATACCAAGACATCTTCATTAATCCAACTTACTTTTAGCATTCGTATCTCCCTGAGGGCAATCTTCCGGATGAGTGGATCATCTTCGTTCTCAACAAACTTCTTGACGGCGACGATCTCGCCGGTGTCCCGGTTGCGGCACTTGTACACGAGCCCGTACGAGCCCTCGCCCAGCTTGGCGAGCTTCTCGTAGCGCTCCATCGCGCGACTGCTCGCGCGAGACCTGTTACCAATGTATCGATGTATTTAATTAATTATGAGAGGTAAACGCTTATGGAGTTCAGTGCCCAGATAAATGTATGATGGCATGACATGTAGGGGGTGTCCGTGGGCGGCGCTGTTCGCTTACCATCAGGTGATCCGTCTGCTCGTTTGCCTTCGATGACATAAAAAATGAGGATATAACTCCTGTCTGCTATCATATTTTAATAAAAATTGTAGGTACCTAAAAGCGATCACCTCGGGCGACACAATAGCTCGATTGATCTCGCCTTTCATTTTGTCAATGCGATTTTAGACCATATTTACAAAAGGACTGCATAATTTGATTCTGCTCTCCGACATCCCCCGTAGAAAGCAGCTCTCTATAGCTATAGGTTATTTTGGATTACTTTAACTAAACATAGCCTAGATCTCAAGAGGTTATCTCATGTGTTCTGAAGTGGTTCTGAAGAAGACAGTTCTTGTGTCTATTTGACGGAACTTTCTCTTTTTTGGTTATTTAAGAAGAATTTGTTTAATATTTGTATTGGACCTTCTTTTTAAAGATTAGAATATGATTTTTTAATGATTGGTTTTTTTTATGTGATCTGCCGGTAAACCGAGCAGACGGAACACCTGATTGTAAGCAATCGGCGTCGCCTATGGACACCTGGAACAGTGGGTTACCGGCTTTTTGGGGATTAGAAATTTGAGGACTGTTAGGAATTCCAGGATTGGGGAAGGGGGTGGGGGGTGACCTCCTGTACTCTCACTCACAACAACGCTTCCGTTTTTTCACGTCGGTTTTCTGTGAGATGTGATATCACTCCGGTCAAGCGTCCCATTCGTGCCGAAGCATGGCTCTCCCACTATTCTTGATTGCCAAAAGATCGGTCCAACATATAGGCTACATATTATCACGCTACCTACGGGGGAGGAGCTGTAAAGAACTATCCAAAGTCGTCCACGCGAACGAAGTCGCGGGCACAACCAGTTTAACAATACAATAGTTCAACAATAAAATAGGTCGATGCTCGCTATACTATTGTTTAGACATTGAATAGTTATTACTGTTATTAGTTATTACCCAATGACGTCAACATTTTTCACTCCCATAACAATTATTTCTAGAGGTCGTTAAACTGTTGGTACAGCTACTCATCAAGCTAAACATAACCAGTATAAACGAACCTTCGAATGCGTAGAAAGATCATACAAAGATAGACCATAATATACTGGATATGTATAGTTTGATTTGGTCGAGTGTACCGAGGTAGTTAAAGCATGAAACAGTTTGTTGAATAAGTATAATTATTGGTATTGTGTGTCTGTTTATTATATCGGCACGTAGATGTAATGAACTGATGTTTTTAATCTACTTTCTTTATTGGTTTTCCATATAATTGTCACGTTGATAGTTGTTTTTTAATTGCTAGTTTTCCGACTATAGTTTCACTAGGTCAGTGAGACCTTTCAAAAAAGTATTCACACGTGGGTTTAGAATTGTTGCATCGAGTTAATTTTGATTCTGTAGATATATCGGGATTGAAATTAATAGTTTAAGATTGTGTTACACCTTAAAAGGTGAATAGGGTAGTTTCCTAAATTTTATTTTAATGTCCGTCTGGTACATTCATTTAAAACTTTAGACATATATATTTTATATGTAAAATTAGATACTTTCGACCATATATTAATTTGAAATATCGTGTGACGTCACAATGTGTCACATTTTGTAGCACGTTATAACGTAACGACCTCCCACTCCTAAACTTGCGCCATTTTATATAAGTATTGCAACGTAATTCGAGAAAATAAAAAAATACGTGTCTAATATTTTTTCATTATCTAACTGACGGAGACGGACGAATTATTATTATAATTTTGATACCCTGGAAACTACCCTATTGTTTAATAAAAAAAGGTTTTTTTTATGTAGTTTTCGTATTCCCAAAGGCCAAGTATTCTACTAATTGGTACTTATAAATGCACACTCAAAGATATTTATATATTTCTGCGTGCACACTACACATCTTACGATACAGTCGAACTATAAAGTTAAGTCGTAGGTTCATAACCCCTTCACACCTTCAGTTAAACTGTACAGTTCAACTGTTCGCTCTTAAAAAAACTGTACAGCTGAAACGGCACAGTTAAATCGTAAGATAGGTATCATTTACAAAAAAAAAGTAAAATTTCCTTTATAAAATGTAAGTATCCTTTATGAAATGTAAGTTTCCTATTTTAAATGTAAGTTTTCTTTAGTAAATGTATGTTTCATATTTATAGATAGTTATGTTCTTACCAAAAATAATAATCATTGGTAAATTATTTTTAAAGGTGCATAAATATATTATTATTCTTTTAATCCACGTTTATTTCATTAATTAACATAGGAACCCAGGCAGGGTTGCTGTTTTTCCAGGTTCATTAATTGTAATTGCTTCGATTATTATCTTTATAACCTATAATGTAGCATTATTACTGTCTTTTTTTTTTTTAAGGGGGGAAAATCATCGAATGACTGCCCCCGCCTGGGTGAGGCGGGAGGGAGTGTCAGACTCTTACTGACTAAAAACCACCCCGTTCCTTCTCCTGCACGTCGAGCCGGAGCCCCGGTTACCCGTTAGGTTCTCCGCGACTCCGAATCGGCATCGGCCCTATTGGGCCCCATCTGTGGTGGTCTGATGGCTCTTTGAGGCGCGCGCGGAACGCGACGCGCCGTACGCTCGGGTCTGTTTCTGGTCGGACGGGGAGCCACCCATGCTCGCCGTCCGCAGGCCCGCGCTTACGGTGGCCGGAGATCGTCCCGCGATCCCCGACGCCCGGTGTGTCCTTCGCGATGGCTGGGTTGCGAGGAGGCAGCGCTTCGCTGCCTCACGCGTCCCGCCTCCTCCTTAGCTAGCATGACTGCTTCGCAAAAGGAGGAGACGGCATCCCAATCCCCCTCGCTCCGCATCATGGCCTGCACTAGGCCCGGACGCGAGAGGTCGCCATCGCCGATCACTTCCCTGAGGACACGGCGGTGCTCAGCCCACGAAGGGCATTCTCCCACCGTGTGTTCCACCGTGTCCTCAGGGCGGTCCTCGCAGTGATGACACCCGGGCGTTTCCTCCCGCCCCATCAGACACAGGTACCTCCCGAAACTTAAGTTTCGGGAGGTACCTGTGTCTGATGGGGCGGGAGGAAACGCCCGGGTGTCATCACTGCGAGGACCGCCCTGAGGACACGGTGGAACACACGGTGGGAGAATGCCCTTCGTGGGCTGAGCACCGCCGTGTCCTCAGGGAAGTGATCGGCGATGGCGACCTCTCGCGTCCGGGCCTAGTGCAGGCCATGATGCGGAGCGAGGGGGATTGGGATGCCGTCTCCTCCTTTTGCGAAGCAGTCATGCTAGCTAAGGAGGAGGCGGGACGCGTGAGGCAGCGAAGCGCTGCCTCCTCGCAACCCAGCCATCGCGAAGGACACACCGGGCGTCGGGGATCGCGGGACGATCTCCGGCCACCGTAAGCGCGGGCCTGCGGACGGCGAGCATGGGTGGCTCCCCGTCCGACCAGAAACAGACCCGAGCGTACGGCGCGTCGCGTTCCGCGCGCGCCTCAAAGAGCCATCAGACCACCACAGATGGGGCCCAATAGGGCCGATGCCGATTCGGAGTCGCGGAGAACCTAACGGGTAACCGGGGCTCCGGCTCGACGTGCAGGAGAAGGAACGGGGTGGTTTTTAGTCAGTAAGAGTCTGACACTCCGTCCCGCCTCACCCAGGCGGGAGCAGTCATTCGATGATTTTCCCCCCTTAAAAAAAAAACATACTTGTAATCACCTCTACCTCTAGGTACTGGTGGGTGTCCATAGGCGCATGGATTGCTTATTATCAGTTTTATCCGTCGTCTGGTCGCTTACTGACTTATTTTTTTAAAGGCATACGTATACGAGAGATAAATAACAACAACCGTGATTATGAAAATTCTACAAAACGATTTTTATATATTATACTTTTTGTCGTCAGTCCAGCGTAAATGATAGGCGAAAATAGAGGCGACAAATATTCCCGACATCATATGGACTGACGGTACAATTCCAACTATTCAACAAAATACTGAAGTATGATTTTTTTCTAATCTATTTGCGTTATAAAGCTTAGTTTTGTTCAGAAATTAAATATTATTAAGTTTAACTTATGGATGTATTATTCTAATCGGTACATGGTTGACGGTACTGTGCTCGGTGTTTTGTTTTAGTGCATAGTTAGGTATATTTCTTTAGAATAAAGAATACTGGCGAAATTTAGCATCGTATTTTAATAAGGATTGTATTAAAAAAAACACGGACAAAACGACTTTTCTGGAAAACCTTGCCCGATCGATTTATCGCACGCGAAACCCCCTAAATACAAAATTTCAAAAAAAATGATTCAGCTGTTTTCGAGACCGTTAATAACAAGAATTGCTCGTTTAAAGGTATTCAGATTTCTCTATTTATTATCAAGTAAAGAAGGACACGATAGGCCAAATTAACATCCGTTGTATTCATAAACTATGATGTCTTATTGTCTAAGTTAGGGGTGGATTCAAGTTCAAGTTCGTGCTAATTTCAGTTAAACTTGAGTAAACATAAAGTTTGTCACCCCTGTCTCTAATTCGAGCCGAATTTTGGGGAGAATTGATAAGTATTGTGTCATTAAATGAGTAGGTACACTACTTACACACCTTTTAGGCGATATAAAAGGGGTAAAGGAGTAAAGAGACCTTTATTATATTTGATAGACCGACGTTTGACAATCTCGCCGTGATAAGCGATGATGCGGTCTACGATGGTGCACGTCGTCCCATAAGAAGAAAGAAAGAAAGAAAGAAAAATCGTTTATTTGCACACCATCACAAAGTACAATAACACACAAAAATATAATAATACAATGAAGACGGCGCAAAAAGGCCAGAGCTCAGCTTAAATGCCGTGACCCGAGTGCGCTCGAGTCGCGGCGCTGATTTTCAGCACTGTCCCGTGACTATTATAATGTAATGTATTAACATATAATAATAATAATAATAGATTTAAAAAAGCAATACGTATTCACCTTGAAGACACCCAGGTTATACTGAAATACTGATTGTGGCAAAGAATTCCACTAGAACTAGTCTAGATAGGTGCCAATGTAGTTAAAGACCTCATTTTCGAAAATATATACAGTACGTATTACAGTACTACATGATGTCGTAATGTTTACAATATTCGCAGATATACAATCTTTATAAAGACGTTCAATACTTTAAAAAGACCTAAATGTTTGGCCATTTCCGATCTAAATGAGAATGAGCTTTTTTATCATTGAGGTCATTAGGGCAGAGGGTCAAAAAGGACGGGTCTTTAACGGTACGTACTCTGTTCCATGTATTACGGCGTTGCTTTTTTAATAGACTTAAATATATCATTTATCGTTTGTGTAGTACATT